GATCAGCTACACACTGAGTATCAATTAAAATAAAAAACATTCTTAAAAGTGAGCCTGGTAGCACCCCCAGCATTTAGAATTAAGCAAGATAAGGGCTATCTAGAAATTGAGACGGAGAAGGAGTAGCCAATGAGTTAAAATAAGGTCTATGAAAGAGTGGGGCCCAAGAAGCAAAGCAAAGAAAGACTTTAAAGAAAGCATGACCAGCAGGGCCAAATACTGCTGATGGATGAAGCAGGAGAAAGGCTGAAAACTGGCCATAGGATTTGACAATGTACAAACCATTTGCATGTGAGTCAGGATTTGGTTTGACTTCATATGCCAGAGCACCAAAAATTACAATGACTTAAACATAAAAACATCTGAATGTAGGCAGTCCAGGGCTATATGGTAGCTCTGTGGTAACTTAGGACCCAGGTTCCTTCTAGCTTTCTGTTCTTTTCCTCTATCCTAGCACATGGCTTCTAGCCTCAAAATGATGGTTTTAGTTTCTACAAGAGAACATGAAGGAACAAGTAGAAAAGGTCATAAAGGCACATGGTCCAGCGGAGCTAACTATAATAGTTAACTAGTGTTATGATCACAATAATTCTGCATGCCAAACAACTACAAAATCTCAGTGGTATGCCACAGTGAGCATTAATATTGCTCAGGAGTCTATGGCTTGGCTGACAATCAGCTGATCTAGGATGGACTTCCCTTCAAAAATCAGTATGCCTGGAATAAAATCTACTTGGTCAGGTATGCTGTTATTTGAATAAACTAGAATCTCTATTTTTACTCCAAATACTTACATTTATATTAGTAAATATTGATTTATAGTTCTCTTTTTAGGTATTTTTATCTGATTTTGATATTTAGCCTATCCTTGCTTCATACTATCACTTATGGGATCCTTTCATCTTTTTCTGTGAGTAGTTATAAGAAAAGGAATTGTCTGGTTTTTGAGGCTACATAGATGTCAGTCTTCTGGTCCTGATGCCTTTCTAAATGGCAGGTCTTTATCTATGTTCTAACTTCTGTTACATGTAATGGTTTATTTGACTTCCTACCACTTCTTTTGTTTGAGGCAGCATCTTGCTCTGTTGCTCAGGCTGGAGTGTGGTAGCACAGTCTCAGCTCACTGCAACCTCAAAAGGCTCAAGTGATCCTCCCATCTTAGCATCCCCAGTAGCTGATACTACAGGCATATGTCACTATGTCCAGCTATTGTTTTTTTAATTATTTGTAGAGATGGGGTCTCATTATATTGCCCAGGATGGTCTCAAACTCCTGGGCTCAAGCAATCCTCCTACCTCAGCCTACCAAAGTGCTGGGATTACAAGTGTGAGCCACTGTGCCTGGCCAACTTTCTACCACTTCTTAAGCGAATCTGGGTTATTTATATTTTGCTAGAAAATCACATATTGCCTTAAAATTGACCTGTACATATTCTTTTACAATTTTTGAAATGCCTTTTGCATCTTTGCTAATTACTAATGTTGCATGTTTTCACTTTTCTCTTCTATCCCTAATTAGGCTTACTAGAGTTAATTTAATTTTAAGAATCAGCTATGTTATATCTCTTTTTTAGTTGTTTTCCTTTTAAATTAATTTCACTTTTATGAATTATTTCCTCCTACTCTATTTGTTTGTTTGTTTATTTATTTAAAGACAGGGTCTCATTCTGTTGCCCAGGCTGGAGTTCGGTAGCACAATCATGGCTCACTGCAGCCTTGACCTCCTGGGCTCACTCTATCCTCCCACCTCAACCTCCTGAGTAGATGGGATTACAGATACATGCCACCACACCAGGCTAGTTTTTTTTTTTTTTGTTTGTTTGTTTTGTACATAGGGGTTTTGCCATTTTGTTCAGGCTGGTCTTAAACTCCTGGGCTCAAATGATCTGCCCGCCTCGGCCATCCAAAGTGCTGGGACTACATAGGTGAGCCACCATGCCTGGCATGATTTTTTCTATTTCTTAAGTTGTATATTTAGTTATTTTCAGTTCATTTTTAACATGATCACTTTTGAAGCTATTCATTCTCTTTTAAATACAGCTTTATCTATGTCCCATAGGTTTTTTGTTTTAAAAAAAATATTCTCATTTTCATTATGTTTCAGATCATTTGCCATTTCCATCTTATTATTGCCTCACTGATGGTTTACAAGAATTAAAATTGTTATTAAAAGTATTTGCCTTTTATTTTTCTTTTAATTTATGCCCATGGGAACATATTCACCCAGTATAAAATGATACAATGTAAGAGGCCTGTGTGTCTCCCAGTACACAGAGCTCTCAATCCTCTCTCCAGCAGTAACAGATCTTACTAGATTCGGGTATTTCTTTTTAGGAGTATGAATATTCTGTGAAAATATGTGTTTTGAAAAGTACTCTTTCTTTTTTAAACTCTATTCTTTTCTCAATTATAGATTCAGGGGGAAAGCCATGCAAGTTCTTTACATGGTTGTATTATGTAATGCTGGGGTCTGCTCTTCTAGTGGACCAATCACCCAATAGTGAACACAGTATGCAACAGATAGCTTCTCCAACACTTGCGCCTTTACTGCCTCCCCTATTTTGTAGTCCTCAGTGTCTACTGTTTCCATCTTTATGTCTATGTGGACCCACTGTTTAGCTTCCACTATTAAGTGAGAACATGCGGTGTTTGATCTACTGTTTCTTCAGTAATTCAGTTAGGATAATGGCCTCCAACTCATCCATGTTGCTGCAAAGGAAGTTATTTCATTCTTTTGCATGAAAAGTATTCCTTAGCTTCAGTTTAATTTGTTCAAACGCCTCCTCAGGCCACTGATATGGCATGGTAGACTTCAGGAGTCTCAGGCTGATTCTCCTTTGGCTTTGAATCTCTAATGCTTTACACAGCCTGCTTTCTGCTTTCAACATTGTTTCTACAATTCAAATCTGAGAAACGTCCATAGAATAGACGTTTGTAGATTTGTAGAAATTTGTAGATTTCTGACATTGGTTTTATTTCATTTCCTGTGGAAGAATAATTGTGCTGTCACAACCTCTGGAGCTCAAGTCTAGAAATGGTATTAAATTAGCCTCCTTAATTTCACATGTAGAGCATCTTTATGTGACAGATCTCACTCTAGGTAGCGTTCTTTTTATGTATATTCTATGGTGGTACCAAGAGATAGTTGCAATTTTGCAACCCTTAAGCTCCTGTCTTCCTCCCCCAAACCATTACAAATAAATATTTATTCTAAGTCCACTCTATCCTACCTTGTTGACACCTTCAAGGCAATTTCTCCAGTAGCCTCCCCTTTATCCAGAGCACCAAAACTAAACACCTGCTGTGGTGGACAGCTCATGAAATGGCTCCTAATAATTCTCGCCAACTGTTATTCACATTTTTGTGTAATCCCCTCCCAGTATGCATGTGTGTGTATGTGTATTAGTGTGTGAGATAAAGCAAGTTGCCATACTGAAGAGACTCGTGTGGCAAAGGACTGAGGACAGACTCCAGCCAATAGCTAGCAAGGAAGCCCTAAGCCCAAGGAAATGAATCCTGCCAACAGCCATACAAAAGAGCCAGGGAGTGAATCCTGAGCGAAGTCTTGTGATGACTGCAGCCTTGTGAGAAATCCAGTATCAGAGGATCCAGAGTGTTGACCCACAGAAAGGGGCCCAAATAAATGTTGTTTTAAGCCACTAGGTTTTAGAGAAATTTGTTATGCAGCAATAGACCATGACACCTGCTTTTTCAAAGTTCCTTGTAAAACCCATGATGATTGCTGGGAGGTGTTTTTCCAGGAAATAATTCTGGAGAAGAGTTATATATGTCCCATCCAATCCCAATCAACCTATCCTCATCATCCCATGCTTTCTAAAAAGACCACATAAGCAGGTTTTGGAGATAGAAAAACAAAAGATGACAAATGTTGGGTTGAGAATGGTAGAGCTGGAATAGAACTTAAAAAGAAAAGTATCTCTACCACACACCCATTAGAATTGTAAACTAAAAATATTAACAGTACCAAGTCCTGGAGAGGATGCAGACCAACTTTATCTTTCAGACATGGTTGGTGTGGTGGTAAAGTGTTAGGCACTCTAGAAAACATTTTTGCAGTTTCTTATAAATTTAAACACACACTTACTCTATGACCCAGCAATCACATTTGTGGGTATTTCCTCTAGAGAAGTGAAAACCTGGGTTCATACAAAAACCTGTACTTGAATATTTATGATAACATTATATGCAACAGCCAAAACTTGATGTATTTGTGTTCTCTCAGAACACAGAACCAATATGGGGAGAGAGAAAGAGAGATTTATTTGGAGGAATTCGCTCATGGAATTATGGAGCCTACCAAGTCCAAAATCTTCAGAGTAGGCAGACAGGCTGGAGACCCGAAAGAGCCAATGTTGCACTTCATCTACAAAGGCAAATTGCTAGCAGATTTCTCTTTTGCTTGGGGCAAATCAGTCTTTTTGTTCTATTCAGCTAACTGAATGAGGCCTACCCCACATAATGGAGGGCAATCTGCTTTACTTAAAGTCCGCCGATTTAAATGTTAATCTCCAAAAACATGCTAAGAGAAACATCCAGAATGTCTGACCACATATCTAAGCATCATGACCCACTCAGTTTGACACATAAAATTAACCATTAAGTCCACCCTTGTCAACGGAACACACATACGCAAATATATTCACTTCAAAACATGGAGGAAATACTCAGATAATTGCATTTCTCATTTAGGTAACTGGTCATGTGGTCACTATGGTCATATGGTCACTGTGATTATATGGTATTTCTAACTACTTTCTTCAATTACCTATTCCCTACTCCCTTTGCCCTTACCAAACACCTCAGCTGGCTGTAGTTCTTTTCTTGGTGGGCAACCCAAACCTTCAACCCTCAAGTGTCTGGGCCTAGTAGTCCTGAACGAATTGGGTTGTGGTAGTTTTCCATTGATTTTAACCACAGGACATAGTAATACTAAGAGATACTATAAAGGATCACCTGTATTCCAGATATAGTCTTCCTTACCTCTATCGTAGAGTAGTAGTTCAATTTCCCCTTGGTAGTCCGGATCAAACACCCCAGCCAGAAATGTGGACTCCCTTCTTTGTCTGTTGCTTTGGAAGCATGAGGAGGCCAAAGCAGCCAGGCAGCAGTCTTAATTTCCAGTTCAATGAAATCACTGTTGTGTCTCCTGGTGGAAGCATCTCTCTTTGGAACTAAGACCTCTAGGATAGGAAAGCATAAGGTCACAAGAACAGGAAGCAAACATTTTGCTAGTAGGTCACTAGGGATAATGAGTGGTGCCACTACCAATTCCACCCCCTGATTTCTAGATCTATGGATCCTGGCTATGGGAGAAATGGCACCATATATTAGACACTGATTCCCAAGTGTATACAGCCTTTTAGGGAACCTTTCCCCACCTTGTATAGTTTTCCTTCTTAGTGGGCACTGTAACAGTCTTCAAAAGGCCATTCCACTATTCTGTCAAACCAGCTGATTTAGGATGGTGAGGAACGCAAATTTCATGAGCACGGGCCCATTGCTACACTTTATTTGCATGAAGTAATTTCGTTGATCACAAATAATGCTATGTGCAATGCCATGGTGGTGGATAAGGCATTCTCTAAGTCCACAAATGGTAGTTTTGGCAGAAGCATTTTGGGCACAGAAGGCAAATCCACATCCAGAGTAAGTGTCTATTCTAGTAAGAACAAAACCTTGCCCCTTCCATGATGGCAATGGTCCAAAGTAATCAATCTGCCACCAGGTAGCTAGCTGATCACCCCAAAGAATGGTGCCATATTAAGGGCTGAGTGTTGGTCTCTGCTGCTGACAGATTGGGCACTCAGTAGTGGCCATAGCCAGGTCAGCCTTGGTGAGTAAAAATCCATGTTTCTGAGCACATCCCATGATTTCTATCCCTGCCACCATGGCCACTTTGCTCAGGAGTCCATTGGGCAAAGACAGGGGTGGTCGAAAAAAGAAGTTGACTGGCATCCACAGAACAGGTTATCCTATCCTATCAATTTGAGTATTAAAATCTTCCTGTGCTGAGGTCATACTTTGGTGAGCATGACATAGGATGTAAATATCTTCACATTATTTGCTCACTCAGAGAGGTCCATCTACAAACCTCTTCTCCGGATTTCCTTGTCACCAATTTTTCAATCATATTCTTTCTCAGTCCCTGACCATCAAGAGTGGTATGTAATTGCATGTGTCCTTTGACAAGTAAATGAAGTAGTTAATTGCGTTATATCCAAATGAGATGACACTCACCAGTTAAAAGTAAGTGGGTTATTGATATATACAATGATTTAGATGGATTCCAAGGACATTATGCTCTGTGAAAGGAGCCAATGTCAAAAGGCTATATGTTCCATAATTCCATTTATATAACATTTGCAGTGACAAAATTATAGTGATGATGAACAGATTAGTGGCTGCCAGGGATTAGAGTTACGAGGAGGGTGTGAGTACTAAGGGGTAACATGAGGGATATTCTTTGGGCTGATGGAACAGTTCTGTATCTCGATTGTGGTAATGCTTGCATAATCTATACATGTGACAAAATGTATTAAAAATATGAATGTAAAAACTTAAATCCATCTATGGTCTATATTTGGGTTAAAAATATTGCACTAATGGCATTTTCCTGGTTTGGACAGTGTACTATGGTTATGTAAGATGATATCATTCAGGGAATCTGGGTGAAGCATATTCAAGAACTCTGCTTACACGTTTGCAACTTTTTATCAATGTCAAATTATTTTGAAATAAAAGTTATGTAAAATAAAAAGGCCAGGCATGGTGGCTTATGCCTGTAATCCCAGATCTTTGGGAAGATGAGGCAGGTGGATCACCTAAGGTCAGGGGTTCTAGACCAACCTGACTAACAAGGTGAAAACCTGTCTCTACTAAAAATACAAAACTCAGTCGGGTGTGGTGGCGGGCGCCTGGAGTCCCAGGTACTTGGGAGGCTGAGGCAGGAAAATTGCTTGAACCTGGGAGGCAGAGGTTGCAGTGAGCTGAAACTGTGCCACTGCACTTCAGCCTGGGCGATACAGACTCTGTCTCAAAATAAATAAAATAAGATAAAAATAAAAATGTCTTGACTATGCTTTTCTTTTTCTGGCTTGAGTCCATCAGTGAATTCGTGAGGAGAGTGTCATGATTGGTGCCCTAAGGAGGAACAGGAAGGAGTGTATGCTAAAACAGTTCTAGGATAGGGAACATACAATCAGATATTTTAGAATAGAAAACATAATGAGGATTAAATGCCAAAGAACTAGAACCCAAGCCAGAAAAACATCAAAAGAACTGGAAGATTTTTCTGCCACCTCTAGTTGAATAGTAGTAGCTTGAGATAAGATGTGGTAGAAAAATGAAACTTCATTTATATCTTTCACTTTCTCTTTATTAAATCTACTCCCAATATATGCTGATAGTGCTTTAAGTAGGTTCAGGTAGGTTAAAGATATATTTTTCCAGATTCTGGCCTACAAGGTGGGGCATGAACCCAGGGAAGCCTCTAATACTTCTCTCTAAGTGACTGAAGACTTCGTGCTAGGGTCAGCATTAACAAAGAGCGACATTTTCTCCATCACAAAATGTAAGAGTACAGAAGGCAGGAGAGCACCACCTTCTTTTAAATTATCCTTAATGATCATTTCCTAGGTGAAAGGCAAGTTGAATGTGGCAAAAGTGTTGGAAGGAGCTGATGTCAAAACTGTGGTTTTGTAGACTGTGTGTGTTAAAAAAGAAGGAAACTGAGGATTGAACTAAGTGCAAAAGCATTTGTAATGTCTACCATTCCTCAGTGAGTAGAAAAAAATTGTAATAAAATATGTCTTTGTGTATTTAAAAATTAAAAGGTAAGTTAAAAGGCTTTAAAAAATCATCTTTTTGAGGAAAGCTTTCATATCGCAGGCAACAAAAAAAGTCATTTTTATCCCATTATTATTAAGCCACTGATATAAATTTGTGTTAATACCAAAGTCAGTTATGTGACTGGAATGTAGGAATTAAAAATAGCAACTCTTCAAACTAAGAACAGAATTACTATTTGACCCAGCAACCCAATTAGTAGGTATATATGCAAAGGAAAGTAAATCATTCTACTGATACCTGCATTTGTATGTTCATTGCAGCATTCTTCACAACAGCAAAGACATAGAACCCAGATGCCTATCAATGATGGACTGGATAAAGAAAATGTGGTAAATATATAAACCATGGAGTACTATGCGGCCATAAAAAAGAACAAAAGTGTATCCTTTGCAACAGTGGGGATAGAGCTGGAAGTCATTGTCCTAAGCAAATTAATACAGAAACAGAAAACAAAATACCTCAAGTTCTCATTTAAAAGTGAGAGATAAATATTGAGTACACACAAACACAAAGATGGAAACAATAAGCACTGGGGATTCCAAAAGTGGGAAAGGGAGGGGGAAAGGCTTGAAAAATTACATATCAGGTACTACGTTCAATACTTGGGTGATGAGATTAGAAACTCAAAGCTCAGAATCATGCAATGTATTCATTTAGCAAAACAAATGTACCCCCTGAATCTAAAATAAAATAGACAGGATTTTGAATGTTCTTACCACAAACAAGTAATGCATGTTTGAAGTGACAGATATAATTACCCTGATTTAATAATTAACCATGTACACATGCATTGCAACATTCCATTTTGCCCCACACTTATGTAAAATTTTTATGTATTAATTAAATTTTTTTTTTCTTTTGAGACAGAGTCTCTCTCTTGTTACCCAGGCTACAGTCCAGTGGCTCGATCTTAGCTCACTGCAACCTGTGCCTCCTGATTCCGGCAATTCTCCTGCCTCAGCCTCCTGAGTAGCCGGGATTATAGGCACCAACCCCCACACCCGGCTAATTTTCATATTTTTAGTAGAGACAGGGTTTCACCATGTTGGCCAGGGTGATCTCGAACTCCTGACCTCAGGTGATCCACCTGCCTTGGCCTCCCAAAGTGCTGGGATTACAGGTGTGAGCTACTGTGCCCAGCCAAAATTTTTTAAGAAACAAAAAAGGGAGGGGACTCAAGATGGCGCTGTGAGAACAACCCAGGATTGGAGCCCGCGTTGAATTCACAAACGGTGAGTCAGTGCTGCATTTCCAGACTGATCTTTGTTGCCCACAGAACGGGGAAACTCCCAAGTATAAAAAGACACGGGACGCCAGGCAGTAGGTCTGCCTGGCGAAGCCGGCAGCCGGGCGGCTGCGGCCGGCCCTACCCAGCAATCCCCACAGGGCGCGCTTGTCCGGGTGCCTTGTTGAACCGGCAACCTGAGACTTGAGAGGGCTGGACTTGAGACTGAACGAGACTTGCACAGTAGCCCAGCCCAGGGGATTGCAGGGACAGATCGTTTGGGATACCCAGTGGGACGAACAAAACCGCGATTTCAAACTATCCCGGGCAGACGGTCCGAGACGCTCTGTGGGGGAGGGGCGTCCACCACTACGGAGGCAACCTGCCCCAACTGATATACACGCCCACTGCTGAGGCAGCCAGCCGTTGCCGAGGCAACCCGCCCCACCTGAGATACACGCCCACTGCTGACGCAGCCAGCCGTTGCTGAGGCAACCCGTCCCTACTGAGATACACGCCCACTGCTGACGCAGCCTGCCGTTGCTGAGGCAACACGCTACAAGGAAGAGACTCCGCCGCAGGGCGTGGTGGAGACCACAGCAGAGCCGGCAGGAACAGCGCGAATCACACAACAGCAGGGCGGAGCCTCGGCAACCAAACAGTGGCTAGTCTGCCTTTGAGCTGGGCAGGACACCTGATCGGACATCCAAAAATAAAGCCCAAACCCCTCAACACAGAGCATTTGAGAAAAAAAAAAGGGTTGTTTAATGAGCTGTGTTGCAGCAGAATCAAACATAGCAGCCTAACAGCCCTGAATGAACAACAGAGTGCACAGCTCAGCAATTAAACCCCTATGAAGTACAAACTGTCTCCTCAAGCAGCTCCCTGACCCCTCTATATCCAAAAGACTGTCATTAGGCAGGCATCATCCTGGGACAAAGAGAGCAGAAAAAGAAACTGGTAGCATCCCTCGCTGTGCCACGGCTACTAGAGGTGCACCCCAGACAAGCAGGGTCTGGAGCGGACCTCAACAGTCGTACAGCGAAGGGGCTAGACTGGTAGAAGGAAATCCAAGCAACAGAAATACTTCATCATCAACATTCTGGGTGTCCACTCAGAGACCCAAACGAAAAGTCAGCAACTACGCAGAAGACCAGCGGACAAATCCACAAAGATGGGAAGAAACCAGCGCAAAAAGGAGGAAAACACCCAAAACCAGAACACATCGCCTCCTAGAAAGGACCAAAACTCCTCACCAGCAAGGGAACAAAGCTGGACGGAGAATGACTGTGACGAAATGACGGAATTAGACTTCAGAAGATGGATAATGAGAAACTTCTGTGAGCTAAAAGATCATGTATTAAATCAATGCAAAGAAACTAAGAACCTTGAAAAAAGATTTGAAAAAAGATTCGAGGAAATGATAACAAGAATGGATACCTTAGAGAGGAATATGAATGAATTAAAGGAGCTGAAAAACACAATACGAGAACTTCGCGAAGCAAACGCAAGTTTCAATAGCCAAATTGACCAAGCAGAAGAAAGAATATCTGAAGTCGAAGACCAACTCAATGAAATAAAACGAGAAACCAAGATCAGAGAAAAAAGCGCAAAAAGGAATGAACAAAGTCTCCAAGAAATGTGGGACTATGTGAAAAGACCTAACCTACGTTTCATAGGTGTACCAGAAGGGGACGAAGAGAATGAATCCCAGCTGGAAAATACTCTTCAGGACATCATCCAGGAAAATTTCCCCCACCTAGCAAGACAAGCCAACACTCAATTGCAGGAAATACAGAGAACACCACAAAGATATTCCGCAAGAAGAGCAACCCCAAGGCATATAATCGTCAGATTCAACAGGGTTGAAATAAAGGAGAGAATACTAAGAGCAGCCAGAGAGAAAGGTCGGGTCACCCACAAAGGGAAGCCCATCAGACTCACAGCAGATCTCTCGGCAGAAACACTACAAGCCAGAAGAGAGTGGGGGCCAATATTCAACATTCTTAAAGAAAAGAACTTTCAACCCAGAATTTCATATCCAGCCAAACTGAGCTTCAGAAGTGAAGGAAGAATAAAATCCTTTGCGAACAAGCAAGTACTCAGAGATTTTGTCACCACCAGGCCTGTTTTACAAGAGCTCCTAAAAGAGGCACTACACATAGAAAGGATCAATCAGTACCAGCCATTCCAAAATCACACTGAATGCTAAAGAGCTTCAACATAATGAAGAATCTACAACAACTAACAGGCAAAACAGCCATTTAGAATCAAA